TTTTACTTAATGGCTAGTAATTCATTTTGGTAAGTAAATTACAAGTTCTGTTACTTTAGGTAATATAATTTTATCATATAACGAAACCAAATTCATCTTTCATTTATATTTGGTTTCATTATGAAGTGATTAAATGTGCCAAGTTCATATAACACATTAACTTACACAGAAGAACTATTGAAAAATATTGATTTTTACTATGACTAGTCATAGTGATTACATTTCAATTTACGTCTAGACAACAGGATTTTAGATTACTTTAAGTGGATTATTTGGCGAGACTACAATTTATAGACGAACCAATCAGATTTACGATAAAAGGTTTTGAGTTTTGGCTGGTTTATAACTCTCATTTAGCCATAGTATGTAAGTGAACATTCTCAAGGTCTTTTTAGAGTCACTGAAAGGTCATCCATAAATTATAGTCTTACCGATTATTTGTTCAGGGCTCAAACCGTACAGCAACACCAGTATCTTTAAGAGTCCAACTAAACTGTACTGCTAGGTGCTAACTAGCATGAAATGTTAGCCCAGGCTTTCCTTTTTATCATTTCTAACATCATATTGGGTGTATGATCATTCAGTGTATTAGTTACTAACTTTCCACTTATATTTCTTTTGAATAAGGGTGAGAAAGTTTAAGATTTTAAGAATTCAATAAAATTATATCATTACTTACAGTTATGAAATGCTAGTGGACTGTTAAACTAAGCAGAAGATAAAAGATATAGATTTGTTGTTATTATTTCATTAAAGACATTCAGTCGAGATATCAGAAATCCGTTTAAACGTCTGTGCATCATCAAAGAGGAAACCCATCCATTATTAGTTTTGGTTTAAATTAGCTTATTAGTAGTAGGTTGAACAGATTTCATGTTTGTTGTAGTATACTCTTTACACTCACTTTTTATTTACTTGATATTGAGCATCTATCGAACATCTGTCTATCAGTTGTGTGCTTCAAAATTTCCCTTTTGTTCACAGTTAAATTCTTGGGGACAACTCAGAAACAATCATTGTTACATTTCTCATTTCATCTTATTTACTTTTTATATAAGTCAGTCAATCAATCAGCATCACTGTATGGCTTGGGATAAATGCATATGGGTTTAGATTCGTACATCTTAAAAGATTACCAAAATAACTGAAAAGAAATACAAACGAATATCTACTGATTGATTGAATTAGTTCATTTTCTTCTTTGGAAATGTAATTCGACTATCAGAGATGAAAATACCAATCAAAATGTAATGAAGTTTGTAAACCAAGCAATATCACTGATATGCAACGGCTTCATTCTCGAGTTTGATGATGTTATCAGTCACAGTATTCCACTAAAATACACAAATAAACACTGATTTTAAGATGAATTTCATTAAAATCAAATTCTGTTTGCATGTATTCATCTCATCTCGTAGAACTCAGTGTATACTAGAAGTTACTGCATAATTAACAGATAGGATTGATCTTTTACAAGGTCATGGTCATTTTTGATGAATTCGTTACTTACAATATGTAAATTTAGGTTAGTAATTATTTGAAAATCTGATTAAAGTTTCATTATATTCCAGGTATAACTACAGTGTCTATATATATGTATCATTTGAATAACTTTACATTAACTTTTGTTGTTAGTAAAGAGTAATACTGTTTGATAGAATTTGTCTTTTCCAGTTTTTTTCTATTAACGATTGGATTTGATGATTAACTGTTAGTATAATTTTGTTTTTTCTTTTGTCATGTACAATAAATCTTTCAGCTCTATTGTTGTATTATTCACAAGATCCCTAGGCTACAAAAATCCATACGCTCTTAAATTTTCTTTCAGAACACTAGGTAGTCAGGTGAATTGTAAAAAGTGAATTAATGAGACTACAATTTATGGACGACCTTTGAGTGACACTAAAATGACCTTGAGAATGTCCACCTACTAACTAGAATTAAATGAATGTTATAACCTAATGCAATGAATTGCAATAACGATTTAAAGTTGATGATTAAGGGTTACGAATTAGGTTTATGGTTTTCATCACGAACTGACATCAACTAAGATGCCAAAACGCCATTTAGCCAAATAGCTAAATGAATTTCGCTTCAAATTCCAAGACATGTTAAATCTGATTGGTTCATCCAAAAATCATAGTCTTGCCAGTGGATTTTGTTATTCAAACACATAAAATGTAATACATAAACTGCAGCTTAAACAATAAATTCCAATCTGTACATAATGAAGAGATAGGTTTGAGCAGATGGTTTATTATTGATCAACTGTGATATATGAATCTTAAAAAATGTACTGACATTCGACAGTACAAAAGAAATATCAGGAGGAATTTTCGTGAATATTATAGTAATTTCATTAGTTGAAATCATGAGTCAATCGAAGCTAGACGATCATGAAAAACCTGGAAGCACTGGGTTTGCACTGCTGAAGTGTCCTAAAATAGGACGAAACGGTCGTCCATTGCTTCCAGGTTTTCTATGATGGTCTAGCTTCAATTCACTCATGATCTCAACTATTGAAATTACAAAAGAAATAGCTTGGAATTCGAACTAAATAAAAATATTATATAAAACAATTGTTTAGTTAATACTGATTCATATGAACACTAATTCATCAAATAATAGTCGTCAACGTTTCATGTTTTCTTTTTCCTTTCCTCTTCCAAACATTTATCAGTTTTTAAATAAAAATGTTATTAAGATATTCATTAAAAGAAGCTGACAGATACTGATCAAATTCAGTACTAAATATCAACAACAATATATATATACAAGCCGATACAAATGATACATTTATTGTTAACACTATGGACTAATTGTAGTTAAAAATAATAATGATAACTGGAGGCATTAAACAACTTTTTCATCTTGGTATAAAACTTCTCATTAGTGTACATCTATAAACTCTGGGAGTCTAGCTAAATACCATCAGTCAGTAAGTCAGTAACAACGTAGAACTTCGTACGTACGTACATCAGTTCGAGATGCCACACCATATTAGCACAGAGATGAAGTTGTCCATTCAAATCCCGTAGTGGTAAAGACAGTAAAAGTATAAGCAGTAATCAGAAAAATTAGGGTTTGAAGATGTTATTCAAGAAGCGTAATACAGTGAAATAAATTTTGAAAGAGAAAAAAAAAGAAAGGCACATGAAGAATTCAGAAAATTAGAATTTGAGAGAACACAGAGAGTGGATGCACCTGCGCCATTGCAAACGATTTTCAGCCATGTCATTCAACACCTCCAACCATCGGTTGCTATCATCTCGCGGTCCCCAACCAGGTAGTCTACACCTACCAACATGACTCAGTTCACTTGTCAGTGACTTCATGGATTTGTGCCATGTTATGGTCTGGCCGCTCCTAGCTTTCCTCCAACCTACTCCTACACCAGAAAACATCGCACATCGAGGCAGTCGGTGGTTGAGCATACGTAACACGTGTCCCAGCCATCTCAACTCATGAAGTTACACTACTTCATCAATTGATTTGTCATCCTTACTTAGTACCCGTTTCCTAACAACTGCATTACTTACTCGATGGTCCCATGATATACGAGCAATGTTTCGAAGACACCTATGATCAAATACTAGTAACCTACGAATATCATCTACTCTTACCGGCCATGTTTCACTGCCATTAAGTAGGAAGGAACGAACTGCTGCGCAGTAAACCCGTCCTTCAGTTGATAGACAGATATCTCGCCTATTGAATAAATGACGCAAGTTGGTAAAATCTAGTTGAGCCTTTTGTATCCGTGCTGAGATTTCGTCACACACCAGACCACAAGGGCTGATGAGACTTCCAAGATAAGTGAAGCGGTCGACACGCTTAACTACTTCACTCTCTATCATTAGTTCGGGTGTCGATGCAACCCAGTCCTGAAGCAACATTCTCCATATCGAAGGAGAGAATTGCATCCCGAACATGCTTGCATTGTTGCTTAGAGTGGTCAGAGGACTGCATTTTGTCAGCGTCTTCACCAAATAAAACTATGTCATCTGCATATTCTAAGTCAACAAGTGAACCTCCTGGTAGAAGTTCAACCCCTGGAAATTCAGATGAGGAGAGTGTTATCTCTAAAAGTACATCGACGACAAAGTTGAACAAGAATGGAGAGAGTGGACAGCCCTGACGAACAACACTTGAGGTAATCAATTCTGATGACAGTTCGCCATAAGCTCTCACTCGACCAGTTGTGTTCGAGTAGAGAGCCTTTATAAGGTTAATGTACTTCTTTGGTACTCCTTTCAGTGACAAACACTGCCGTAGAACCTCACGATCAACAGAGTCGAATGCCGCCTTAAGGTCGAGAAATACTACCATTGTGGGGCGTCTGAATGTGTGTCTGTGTTCTAGAACCTGACGTAGTGTAAATATCTGATCCATACAACCACGTCCGTGTCGTAAAGCAGCCTGATTTTCTCTAGTCTGTTCTTCACGAGCTTTAGTTAGGCGTCGAAGTATTATTGAAGCTAATATTTTAGACACTATATTAGTCAAACTGATTCCTCTGTGATTGTCACAAGAGGACTTTTGTCCTTTCTTATAGACTGGCACAATCAGTGATTGAGACCAGTCAGATGGGATTGCGTCCAGTTCCTGATTTCCACCTAGGACGACATTTATTCTCACTGCTAATACTGGACCACCACCCTTAAAAATACCATCAGATTTCATGATAAGCACTTAGCTTTTGAACTACTGAGGCAACATCCAATTATTGATATGTTTAGCTGCAATCGGTCGACGAATATTAATGAATGGAATTGATTATTTATGATTAAGTAGCTCTTGTATTCAATTGCTAATGGAACTATGTGTATACACTTCTGAGCAGTTTTATACTAGGGCAAACTAGTTGTTTAGTGTTTTGATTTTGAATGTTATGATTAGTTTCTGACGAATAAAGCATAGAAACAAATAATTATGTTCTTTTATTTATTTATTATTGTTTTCTCATACATATTGTAGAGTTTATCAAATTGTACATATAAATGGCATCTAATACAACAATACCAGGATTGGCATTTTATGATTCATTAATTAATAATAATATATCAGAATCAAAACGATTAGTTGAAATACATAAAATTGATATTAATGCCAGATTAAGTCATGTAAGTTGATATTATATATATATATATATATATATATATATATATATATATATATATATATTTATTTGAATACATAAATAATAATACAAAGGGGCACCAAATAGATCACGCAGTTGTTTCTGTTTTCTTCCATGGGTGGTTTTGAAAGCTTGATTAGTTTTTTTCTTTAAGGTGTTTCTTCTTTGTTCTCTGTGTCGTTTGCATGATATCTCGATGACTGTTGTCAAGATTTCCAAATGTTCTGACGTGAGTGTGCTTTGTAGCTGCATCTTTTGGTCCTCTATGATGTGTTGGTATTTGCGGATCCTGTAGTGTGTATCCGTTATCATTAGGTGTACCATTTTTCTTCCACTTTGCTCAGCTATTTTCGATCCTAATAGGCAGTTGATTGGTGGTCTATATTTTACGCTTGTTGGTAGAACATGCTGGCGAAGACACTCATGGAGAAAATACAGTTGTTCTCGAGTGGAAGCCTGCCTTTTGGCGAAATTCTCCCATTTTCGAACAACGAGAAGCGTATTACGCTCATATGATTTTGAGATGGTGGAGAAACTTTGAGCTACAAATCTTCTCGACCATCTCAAAATCATATGAGCACCAGATATATATGCACCACACAGTAATAATGAGAATGTGAAGAGATAAAGAATGTAAAGTGCGTATATGCAACAACAAGTATAGCAATGAACAGAGATTAGTGTATGATAGTGAAATAACAATAATGAGAGAGGCAGTTTAATTAACAAAAGTACAGCCACAGAGAATTCTTCCACTTAAAGAGGTTACGTCTTTTTTATGAAGGAAAATAAAATTAAAGCAGGATCGCCATTGGCTTCTATTCTGAGCCTGTCTGACAACGTCTCTAGCCACTGTGTTACACCATCTTTATGACTCCAATCAGGGAGTCATGAAGGACCGACAGAAACCAGTTCTGTACAACTTTCTTTCATACCGCGACACCATGTCATATACTGACCACCTCTCCGCTTTTTCCAGCCAGTCCCAGTGTCGGCAAATTATATATATATACAACATCAAAATGTTTAAAACCATAGTGATATATTGGAAAGAGACTGGGAGTTCTTAGTAGGACTAGGAACATCGGTTCAAATTGCCATACCTCATTAGTATAATAACATGAATACCAAATTTATAGAAGTAGTTCCTTTAATGGTAGTAATGAAATCCAATGTCTTATATACAGAACTATTGAGATTAATCAACTAACTTTTTTTATAAGAAAGTTATTGTTGTATTCAAATGTTGTAATGCTTCACATTATTGTAATGTAATATACATTCTGAAAATAATAATTATAGAAGTTATGCCAGTTAGTTAGTTGACAGACATGATCAGCTTGATATAGATAGTAATATAAGAATGTTTCAAGTTTTCTAGCTCAAAAATTATTTAAGTAGTATATTCAAGACATGTATTACAGCAATGAAATACATCAGCCGAGAACCTTCAATTCTTCTTAAGTGAACATCTTGTTGATTTATGAACGGTGCATTTAAGAAATGAATTATTTATAATCATTTACAACTAGAGAAAATAAAATGAAAGCAGAGAACACAGAATGAAAAGGACAATCATCACTACGATGGGTTAGTCAGGTTTACTATCATACATATGTCAGGTTATTTTACAATATACTAATCAAATTAATTAAGGCTGCTAGGGATGGTGTAAATGTAAAATGACAGCAGGTAGGTAAGTTTACTTAGTGAATTCAGTAATAAAAATGACTGAATATTTCAAGTTCCTATAATCTTACGAATGGAATAAGATGCACTTACAGATATAATAACATTCAATGTCTATTTTCGGAAGAGAAGTAAGTGTCGATTCAGCGAACGAAATGGATGGGAATAATCTTATCTGACGGATAGATTGTGGTAGATTATTCCAGAGTCTGTAAAATTTACTGTTAAATGAATTCATATAGAGAGATGATTTAGAATGTGATTGTTTCAGTAATGACAAAGAGTTAAGGATACTGTAACTAGAAGTTTCTGCATATAGAATTATTTTTCTGGACGTAAAGGATAGTTTATTAGGTATTTTGAAGTAGTCGATTAGATTTAGTCTGAGTCTCCTCTTCAATATCTTGTTGTGTTGCGAACCCACTGTGACTGGTAGTTCATGTTAATTGTCGCTGAGAATTTATCATGACTGACAACTACCGGTATTCCAGTTTATTCCAGGGTGAGTAATAGTGGGGTTAGACGCAGGGTATTAGGGAATGATGGTAAATCATTTGATGAGGTTGTGAAGCTTCATCGACTGAGATGGTTGGGTAACGTGTTACATATGCCTGAACACCGATCACCACGACGCGCAATCCTGACTAATGTTGGGAATGGTTGAGAGAAAGTTAGAGGCAGCCAAACCAAAACGTGGCATCATTGCTTGAAGTCTGAGCCATGGTAATAAATGCAAACTACTCCGTTAGGGTCGGCGTGACTATCGTAACCAATAGTTGGAGACTCTTGGTGACATGGCTCAGAATCGATCGTAATGTCGTAGATGTATACGCACTCTGTCTTTCCTTAAACTACGAGATTAAAATCGCTTCATATCTTTCTTTCTACGAATTAATTCTTTTTTTTTGTATTATGTCCTTGTATACAATCTTTATTTTATATATAACCACTACTGAATTAACTACTTCCATGAATTTGGTGTTCATCTTGTTGTGCTAATGAGGTATGGGAACCGATGCATTTATGTGCCTTGTCCTACGTTGTAGCTGACTGACTGACCAGGTTAATTGAAATCTCCTATAATAGGAATTCTGTTGATACTTTATAGCTTATTATGAAGATGATATTTTGAATCAATCAACCAAGCTTTCCTTGATATATGCTTATATCAAAGCACTACAGTTTGTACTATTATTGTCGAAAATATGTTTTTACTATGATTGTCTATAATTACCTACATCAGTTTTTAAAATTGGGAACTGATAAACGTGGATGTTACAACATGCTTTCGTACTTATTATTATCTTTATTCTAATAACTTTTGTCTAATGTCTAACCATTATCATATTCTAGTTGAATTCGAATTGCAACCAATTAAACGCTGTTAATTTAGCGATATTCATATCACAAGTTGGATCTTTTATGAGGTTATGGGTTTATATATCTGAAGAGTTATATACTATAACGAAACAACCGTACAAATATCCTCTGGTTTATCATGGTTATTTGTTTGATATCTATCTGTCACGAAATTGTTCGTGGAAAATTAAAAGAAATCGATAACAGTAGCTTCATAGATTGAAGCATTTATGAATTACTAATGGTGTTAATTTCTGTAATTTGTACGAGTACAATATTTTCGAGTTCTGGAGTGAACATCAACTCTGGGATGCAGGTACAACGAGTTGACGAGTTCCGAATAGGACGAAACACGCGTCCTGGGTTCCACTGCTAGCCACTATACATCTTTACTATTTTAAAGTTTGAAATTCGTTATTAACTTTATATCATAAATTTTCTGCTTTGCTTGAACAATGAGAAGACGTAGTTGATTTAGAGAAAAATGTGGCATATTTACGCTATACATTTCGAACAATCTGGTCACACATATAATTGCCAAGGTATTTTATGTGAAAATTAATAAAGGTCAATGAAATGACGGATTCAAGTTTTTAAAAAAAACTGGTAATTATAAATAAAGAATAGAGAGATAATTATCATCATATGACATGAATAGGAAATTGCTGTATTACCCTTAGCCATAAACTAACTTAAGCTTATCAAGATTAATTCAAGGTTACAACAAATTGTTTCTGTACATATGAATGGGTTTGAACTTACGAATAGTCAAAGCTTCTATAAACCTAAGAATTTGTCCTTGCCAATTTCTATACATTTTAAAAGTTGTATTGATGTCAATTTTGTGAGCTGTTTGAATTACGTGCTTTGCTATCGATGAACATAGTTTTCTTCCTTTGTTAATTACTTACACCTGTTACCCGTCGTGAAGCAGGACAAACCACCCATCAGGATTCTTCATCCAACTCTGTCCTGAGCAATCCTTTTCAGTTATTTCCATTTGCTATTCATTCTTTTGATATCTGCTACTGATACTTGATACATTATGTACTTAGGTCTTCCTCTTTTCACTTTTCCCTCAGGATTCCAAGTAAGCGTTTGCTTCGTGATATAGTTTGACGATTTCCGTAATATATGTACTATCTACTCCTGGCGTTTTTTCCTAATTTCCTCTTCAGCTGGAATCTGGTTTGTTCACTGCCACATTAGTTTGTTGCTGATGGTATCCGATCAATGGATTTAGGGCATCTTTCGTGACCAGTTGTTCATAAATACTTGTATCTTTTGGATAATGGCTATCGAAAGTGTCGAAGAAGATTCCATAAGATCATCCTATCCACATTCAAACACTTTCTCATAGTCAAGGAAGTTTGTGTATAGTAGCGAATATGATTTAGTTGATTGTCCAACGATGATCCGTAGTGTCGCTATTTGGTCTGTGTACCATCTATCTTCACGGAATCCGGTCTATTGATCTCGAAACGTAGCGTCTACTGGATTTTTCATTAGGTTCATCAACACTTTTGGAAACGTTTCCTGGTACTGATAGTATTGTGATGACTCTGTAAATCTTACATTTGCTCAAATCTCCTTTCTTTAGTATCCTGATGAGATATTCTTCCTTCCATTCTTTCGGCACTTGTTCTTCCTCTCAAATCTTCCTGAATAGAACGTGAATTATCTTATTAGTTATGTCTTAAATCAGATACAGGAATAATTTGACTTCAAAACATTTTTCCACATTAAAAACCTCCGAAGTAGATCTGATATTGTGATCCTCAAACGTGACAAAGGTTCTGGTGTGGTTGTTATGAATAAACATGACTACAAGGTTAAAATGCAATCTATACCTGATCAGAGAAAATTCCTGGAGGACGTTCCATCCAAATATTAATGTTGGGAAATTGAAATCCAGGGTAACGTCCAATATATTGA